TATATCTAGAAAACCTAACTAACCTAATTAAAAGTTCTGACTATTATAAGTAAAAGATCTGTATAAACACAATACCTACACAAGAGGAGGCATATACATATCACAAAATTGACCTTAAAGTTGTATCAATAAATGAAAATCTTTACCAATTTAAAGTATTCATTCCTATATCCTATTCTCTTTTTCTTTTTTTTATCATTTATAACCAACCTCATTTAAATGAAAACAAACATTTATAAACAATACTTGGGAATATGGGCGTCATTCTTTCTAAACTGCTTTCTGTTGATTGGAGAAGATGTTCATATACCATAGGGATCATGATAAAACATAAAAACCTGACCAAGTCCTTGTTTTTGTAGTCTGTAAGGCTGTATCATCTCAGCTTCAGGGGGTCTTGCTTGATCAAACCATATTAGTCTGGAAGGAATCAACAGCTTTTGATTTTCTGTGGAAATACAAGAAAAACCTTTATTTTTAAGTAGCCTGTCCTTAAACATAAATTTTGAAGTCAAATCATTGTTAAAATGTATAAGTTGGATTAATTTAGCAGCATTTATAATCAAATGTATTTTAGCAGCAGTAATTCTTTCCTCAGCAATCAAACAATTTAAAGACAGCAGTATAGCATTTAGTATCCAGATTCTTTGTGTATTTTTCATCTCTTGCGGCTTTTTTATTACTTTATTTTTATTTTCTTTTGTTTCTTCTTTTTTTTTGAGACAGGGTTTCTCTGTGGAAATCTGCCTGCCTCTGCTTTCTTTAGCAAATGCTACCAGCATTGGCCACTATAACTGGCTACTCTATTTCCTACTGTTACTTTTTCTCTCACAAGCCCACATATGTTTTTAAATGTAGTGTAAACCTTTAGAAGTTTTTCTTTATCTGGATCTGTCTTTATCATCTCGGGAGTGTCACGTCTAAACCCCAGAAGCGCCGGGATGGCGCGAGCATATGGAAGCTGCTCCCATGCCACTCAGCAGCCCGACAGGGCAAGCTGTGGCGGCAGGTTTACCTCTTTCTCTGGGAACCTTGGGGCATGGAGTTATCCCACTTCTGTCACCATTCTGTTACGATAAATCTTTCCACCAAAAGCTGTCTGAGCCCCACCACCTGCCCGAGTTAGGCCCAAATAAATACACAGAAACTTGTATTAGGTTCAATGTTGCTTGGCCAATGACTAAAATTCCTCATCTGTTAGCTCAGTCTGAATTATCATACATCTATATATTTTATAAGTCGTATCGGACGCCTTGTTGGCGTTCCTCCTGGCTGGTGGATCACATCGTGCCGCTGGAACAGGAGCAGAGGGGAAAAGAGAGCCCTTCCTGTTTCTCCTTCGCTTAAGTATGAGTCTCCTTGCTATGTCACTTTCTGCCTGGATCATCACTTCTCTACTACATTTCCCAAAATCCTCTTTGACTCCTAGTCCTATCTACTTGTTGTCTCATTGGTCAAACAATATTTTGTTTAACAATCAATAAGATAAACATACACAGTACATTCCCCATCATTCGAGTGATTGCTTTATTATGGCTCTGTGTGCTAGTTTGTGTTTTCTTTTCCTTTGGGTCTGGGTCTCCAGACCATAGTGTTCTCATTCTATGTATTAGTTACTTTTTGTTGCTATGACAGTCCATAATGGGAAGCATGGCAGCTGTTTGTTTCTTTGTTTGATTTTTTTGTGACAGGGTTTATCTGTTGCCCTGGCTGTCCTGGAACTCACTCTGTAGACCAAGCTGGCCTCAAATTCACAGAGATCCACTTGCCTCTGCTTCCTCAAGTACTGGGATTAAAGGCCTGTGCCACCACTGCCCAGAGAGAGACCATACCTTTATTTACATGTAGAAGATGGAGAAGGCAAACTTGAACCCAGGCAAAGCTGTAAGCTCTCACGAAAACTGCTTCCTCTGGTGTACTTCCTGCAAGGCTGTACCTCCTAAAGGTTCCATAACTTCCCAAACAGTGGCACCCACTGGGAACCACCTTCAAATGTCTGCGCCTATCGGGGAGATTTCTCATTTAAACCACCACATTCCTTTTCTGTGCCCCATCTCTGCCAAACTGCTTCTGCCTGTCCTCTTTGACATACTCCATTGCCATCCATCCTTTTGGTGGGATACTGAGACAGTCTCAGCATGGGTCAGGGTTGCTTGGAACTCAATCCTCCTGCCTCAAACTCCAGTTGCTGTGATTACAGGCATAAGCTATCCTGCCCTGCTCCCTGCCGTCTTCTTGCTGTTGCCAGCTACTTTTACACTCTTGGACTTTCAGTGGCGTTGGCTGTGTTTATACATTGAGACACTTTCTCATTGGGGTTATAGGACTGCATGTTGGCCCAGTTTTCTTCCTATGTTACTGGCTATTTCTGTTTCATTTGCTGATTCCTCCTCAGAAGTGTCGGTGTGCCTAGATCTCTAATTGCTCTGAGCTTCACCCATGTACTGATGACTCTGAAATGTCTGCAGCTGAGATCCTTAGAGCTCCAGACCTAGAGACCACCTGCCTGTGTAGTCACTCTGAGTGTCCAAAGAAGGGTTCAGAGCATACCCTAGCTGAAGTTACTTTTTCCATTGCTGTCACAAAACACATGAGAGAAGCTGCTTAAGAAAATGAAGAGTTTATTCTGGGTGACAGTTTTAGTGTACAATCCATCATGGTGGGAATGGCATGGTGGAGGGAGCTTGAGGTCACATTGGATCCACAGTCAGGAAACAGTGATGAATGTTAGTGTCCCACTCCCTTTGTCTTCATTTAGTCTGGGCCCCACCCATGGGATGATACAACCCATATTCAAATCCGGCCTTGGAAATGTTCTCATAGACACACTCAGAGGTTGTCTCCTCGGTGGTTCTAATCCTGGCAAGTTGACTATCAGGATTAGCCAGCATACTAGCTAAAGCTGAAAAGTAGATTTATATTTCTCAGCACCTTATCCAGCCTACTCAGGCCAAAAGCCTCTTAGTCATCCTTGGTCCTTTCATCCTTAGGGTGACCATCCAACTTAGACTGCGTTTCAAAGGCCTATCTGAAATTATTTATCCTTCCTGCCAGGATCTTCAGCTGGTCTCCTTTTTTCCTTTTCTCCAGTCCACCCACTATTACACACATCAAAGAGGTATTTTAGAATGAATCACATCATTGCCTCTGCTGCTTTAAGCTTCCCATGTTTGCTGTTTGAAACCTGTCTACTTTTTTGAAGTATCTTTGTTCTGCTGGTCGGAGCCCTGTCTACTTGTGGCCTCATCCCTGCTTCCTCCAGGCAGTGGGCATGCAGGCTTGCTTTCTTCTGATTGTTCCTGAGGGCTTCTTCTCTTGTTTTTGCTGTATGTCTGTTCCCTTGGTGTCAAACCACTTCTGTTGTGGTTTCAATTCAAATGCCACTTCAGATATTTCTTTCTTAAATAACCAAAGCAACATATTGGTGCTTTCTCCATAACATCTTATTGTGTTCTTCATCCTCACTCTTGGTATCACTTCACATTCATACCCCACACCCACACCCTACCCATGAGGCCTTGAGTACCTGGAACAGTTTTTCTGTACATGGAAAGAATGTGACTTACCAACACAATTCATGAGACAAACGCATGACAGAAGTTTTCATTACTTTGTTCACAAACATTGTTTTCTTCCTCTATATCCGGAAATAGGTTTAACTAGGGAAACTTAGTTTAAGCATTCCCAAGTGCTCAGAGTTCCTGGGATAGTAAATCAGCCCTGTTATATTCAAATGAGTTCACGGAAATGCACATTCAAGATAATTTGTGTGCCTCTAAGATAATCTTTGTCACATAGATGAGTTTCCCACAAGCTTATTGGGAATGTTATGTGCTGTTTATGTCATAAAGGTTTACATCATCAAGTACATTTTAGTTTAAAATGTTCTGCTATTATGTAGTAGGCAGTGTGTCTTATGACTCTGCTTAACTGAGCATAGAATCAAATATATAAGAGCAGATCACCAAGCATGACTTCAGGATTTTAACAGCTTTCTCTCCGTATGATATCGTAAAGAGAGGTAGCTTTTTTTTCCCTACTTTCCTGTTGCCTATTGGTTAGAATGCTAAAATTACCACAGGTTCTTTATTAGGAGAAATGTTAGTGGCCTGAGATAAAAGAAAAAGCAGCCTGGATAAAGTGTTTGATCAGTAGTTTATTTTTTATATGAACAGAACTTTATAATTTTACGTCATTGTCTTTATCTAGTAGTATAAATTCATTTTTATCTTTGTGTAGAACCTCATGGGCAGGGTCTCTAAGATCTGAACTAGTACATCTGTGTTTGTGTCTGAAGTGAATGGTTGGCTTTTGGCCCTAAGGAAGTAAGTGTCCTCTATCTCTTACTAAGTTAGGAAGTTAGCCAGGAAGAGACAGGAGTGATGTAAAAAGAGTGTGTTGGAACTAGAAGGGTCATCCTTGTCTTGTCGTAGTCTCCCAGGGTGGAGATCATCTATGTGCTGGCAACAGTGTGCTGATAAAGCTGATCACTTCACTGTATATGCTCGGTGCAGCCTTTGTCAGCTTTTCAGAGCCTTTTTCATAGGCTCCCTCTGCCTCTTTCATCCTTGTTCTCCAGCTCTGAGGTTGACTCCTCACACACAATTGTTCTGAGCTGCTTTCTCTTCCCCTTCATAACGTTTTGTTGACACTATTTTGGTGATGGCTGCCAAGGTTGTCCTAAGCCCCTTACCACTTCCTTCCCCCACAATAATAATAATAATAATAATAATAATAATAATAAGTATTTGGTGGGCAGCCTCTATGAAAACACTTGCTACCCATTTTAAGTTTCTATTAGCCTGGTTCAATAGCTGCCAGCATATTGGGTATATGTCTTGGTAACCACTAAGCTATTCTTTTTTTGCTCAGATTTTAAAAAACAGGAACAGAGGAGCACATAAAATATTCACACAGAAAATGTGTGATTCTGAGGAAGAGGGGCTCTGTCACACTAATTTGTCTTCATAAGCCTTCGTGTGCTTCGTTTTGGAGTCGGTGATGGCAGGCCCAGCTAAGAGGCCATTTGGTTTATAATTCTCCTGTGCTTTCTGCATTTCACAGGGTAGCCCGGGACTCTATCGACATGCCAGTGCATTAAAAGAGCGAATGGCTGCTTTCCGGTCAGCTTTTCACTCAGTACAGGAAACTGAAAAGATGGCTGGTGGTCCCGCAGCCTCAAAGGCAGATGGCGAGTCTAAGACATCAAATTTGAGTGAGTAGAAGGGATTGGCCAAGGTTGACTTTTGTGTATAAAGATAAACTTTGTGACAAAAGATTCATTTCCACAGTGTAAAAGCAATTTTTCCAGAGCATAGTTGTAAATGGAGACTAATAGCTAAAATTTGCAGTATTTACATAGAAATCTGGATTTCTGGTTTTAGGATTTTGTTTTAGTTTATCTGTGTTATTTAGTGATGCTAAGGATCACACCCAGGGCTTCGAATGTATTAGACAAGTGCTTTACAACCAAGTCCCACCCAGGCCCTGTGGTTTCTGTTGAAGACTATACCTTTATTTCCATAGTTACACTTGTTCTGAATCTTAAAGGGCCAATACCAAATAGCTCCTATGAGGCTTCAAATAGGGCTTTTGGCAAACTTAGGCTTGTGTTGATTTTTATAAACTTATTGTTAAACTTTGCAAAAACATTTGTGAATGGCACATATCTAGCCCTGACGTTAACCACAGATTTGTCCAGTCTAATCAATGCCTTGTTAGTCTGCTGTATTCTTCTCTGTGTCTATATAATTCATTTTGTTAATTTTTAATAATTTTGACTTTCAGTCACAAAGTACTTTAAAACCAGAACTTGATAAAATACTGGCTCTCTTACAGTCCTGTTTTTCTGGCACTTTATACTCTAATTACTTAACAGAGTCCATCTATTCCATGGTACAGGATCCCTTCAGATGTCCTAATTTGTAGTTTGTAACTTACCTATTACTTGAATTGTTTTCTAGGTTTTAAATTTTTTTACTTCATTATTATAATCATGATGTCGTTCAAATCCTTTTGTATATAGTAATAAGTGAACATATTGCAGTTGTGTGTTTCTTTTTGTTTCTTGGTTTTTTTTTGGGGGGGTTCCCCTCAAAAATCAAGTACAATCAAATTAGAACACTATTAGGATATAACTGTTTCTTTCCGGTTTGGCAGCATGTGTTTTGTATTATCTGAGGGTTCTCAGAGGAACTGAACCTATGGAATGGCTATCTGTTGCCACAGAGATTTGTTACTTTAGATTGTGTGCTATGGGCTGAATAAGGTAGCAGCTGCTGACTGTACCCTGAAGCAGTTGAGAATCTGATAGCTGCCCAGTCGATAAGGCTGGGTGCCTGGTCAATCCCAATGTGAAACTGAAGCCCTAGAGGACTCTTGGAGGAGAGACCCTAGTCTTCAGGTCACAAAGCTGGTTTTGAGGGCACTTGAAGAGGACATATCACTCAGGAGCTGCTCCCAGCAGCCAAAATAAAGATGGACAAGTGAAAGCAACACTGCTTTCCTCTCAGCCCTGTCTAGGCTCACTGTGCAACCCTCACTGCTCTCACATTTGCTTATAGACCAGGCTGGCCTTGAACTTTCTGGTCTCTTAGCCTCCCTTGTGTTGGCACTATGTGTGTGTGCCACCACTCCCACCTTCTGTTTGCCTTTTTGAATGAATGGGGGTAACAGGTTTTTGTTTTCATTGAGGATTTACATACAAACACTATATTGGCATTAAGTTAATATAATGGATGATGTTTTAAATGATAAATGTAAAAGAAAATATTTATCCCCGTGTCATTTTGTTTCTAATTTTGATTTGTGCATACAGCAAAAAAAGAAGGTCTTGTTGAATACCAGCAGTCTGGGTTCCCTCTAAACTCATCTTCAAAGCGGCGGAGAATATCCTCCCAAAACAGCCCTGATGACCACCTCAGCAGTGCCAAAGGGAAAGTGGTGTGTGGTCAGATGCTCGCCGACCAATCCTGTGCTATAGGCACCTCTGCAGATCTTGCTGAGGTAATTGTGCTTTCCACACAAAAACAGAGCTGTGGCTTCTGCACGGGCAGTTTGAAGACCGTCAGAGACCAAGATATTAGTTCCTAGTTCCACCGTATTGTTGCTGTGGTTCTTAAAAGTGTGTATGTGTGTGCTTGTGTGCTTCCTATGTGTAATTGTGTGACTTTTGTTGTCTATTGCTTTAGAAGCCGATTGGGAAGATGGGTTGCTTTTGGCTACTTTTATGAGAAGATAAAGCCCGAGGGTCTTCTTCATGAGGTGTTCTACATAGTGATGGTTGGACTATAGGTCTTAGTTGTACCCTGAGATGGCTTTTTTGTCCATCCAGGGAGCACAAGTTCCTGAGCAGGTTATTTAGATATTACCTGGAGTATCAATCAGTTGCTGAAACTAGGAGCACCTGTCCAGGTCTGTTCACACTTGCCTACCTAGTTTGTTCTAAGACTGCCTGAGAAGCAGGCTCTTAAAATTCGTCTTTATTCCTCTACCTTTTTCAAGTAGCATTAGGAATTTTTGTGGATTGTGACAACATAACATCTGTCAGGATTCTGGAAAAACAAACCTACGTGAATTTTACTAAAGTAGGACAGAGAATGCTAATGGGTTTGATAACTTGTGCGGCTATGGATGCAAAGCCAGTTGTATATTCTTTCTTCTTCTCTGTGTCTTCACTCTGTGATCAGAGGGTTTACTTTCATCCCTGACACTATCACAACTACAACTATGTTTTAGTTTTATTGTTTGAGAGATGAAGAAAGGGTTCAGGTGCACATATGGAGGTCAGAGGTCAACTCTCAAGAGTTAGTTCTTCTCCAGTTTGGATTCTGGGGACTGAGTTTGGTCATCCAGCTTGCAGAACAAGTGTTTGCCTGCTGAGCCATCTTGTCAACCCAACGGATGAAATTTAGTCTATGCCATCGCTGCTGCTTAGATCCAGTTTACATCTGACCTAGTGGCATGTTGGCTAGTCACTAGAGACTCCTTAGTTCCGGTGAGTTTTGTGGAGTGCATGTGGAGGTCAGAGGAGAGTTTATATGTGGGTTCTCTCCTTCTACCATGTAGATGCTAAAGACTGAATCCAGGTTTTTAGGTTGATAGTAGGTACCTTCTCTATGCCATCTAGCCCACCCTAATTCTTTGTGATAGCAGGGAAAAAAATAAATAAAAAAGATGGTCATAGCACAATGATCCCAAAACACGTCTACAATCCCTGTAACACAAGAACCGCTTGTATTGCAGACTGGCTTACGGTCTCAGTTTCCTCTGCTTTATTCAAGGTAATATAAAATGATCACTTGGCAGAAGCAATAGTGGTTGTTTCTTTCCAGAACTTTGATTCATTGGACATAAATCACAAAGGAGAAATGATTTTTGAATTAATGTGGCCATGCTTTTGAGAATTTCCTCTCCAGAGGATAGCAGATAGCACAGCTCTCTAAGCTTCAATAGGCAATAAAAATGAATCACATAAACTTTTAGTCAGGGTTGAAAATAGTTTTGTGGAGTGTTCAGGATGCAGTTGGTATGAGTATTCTGCTTTTAGTTCCCTGTGCACTTTGCCCTTGCTGGCTAGAGACTAACTGAACAACAGATTTTCAGTCATCCACAATGTTTATTGAAATCTCCATGAAGGTGTTATTAGCAGTACTGTTAGTAATAATATGTTGTGCTTTTTATTCTTTCATATTTTCTCCCAGAAGTCATCTGACATTGGTCCAGCCCAGCCTGGCTGTTTAGTTGCTCCCTGTCCAGAGCTCATGGAGACCTCACATGGTAAGTATATATTTTCCTTAGTGCAAATGTATATTGCCCCATTCATAGACATTTGTGATGAGTGTGTCTATAAGCTGAAATGAGTGAAAGCAGTTCTGTGTATTATAGGGATGGTAGGCAAAATGTTTTGGGATCATTGTGCTATGACTTTTTTTTTTTTTAATTCTGATATGACAAACAATTAGGGTGGGCTAGATGGCTTAAAGAAGGTGCCTACTTCCAACCTAACAACCTGGGTTCAATCCCTAGAACCACATGGTAGAAGGAGGGAATTCACAAACTCTCCTCTGATCTCCACATGCACTCCATGTCACATGTATACCCCCATAACTAACATCATACAGATGTACAATAAATCAATAAATTATTTCTAATTTTTAAAGTAAAGTTACTGATGCACTTCCAAACTGGTGGGATAGTAGTATGTTAACAAAATAATATATATTACTATAATAATAGGATAAGGATAGGGCTAGCAATGCATGGTGGTACATGCCTGTAATACCTGCACTCATAAGGCTGAAGCAGAATTAAGAGTTCAAGGCTAACTTGGGAAACATTGAGATCCTGTTTTAGTAGGGAGAGAACAGGGATAAAATAAGGGCCTATGACTATTAGCAAGTATATTTTGTTAATTATAAATCTTTTGACTAATGACTAGGGATTCTTATTGGCTAGCTCTCTCTCTTAATTATTAACCCATTTCTATTAATCTATGTATTTCCACATGGTCTTGGCTTACCAGAGAATGCCTGGACCTGTTACTCCTTTTTGGTCTACATGGCACCTGTCTCTGATGGGCTCCTGCCTACCTTTCCCAGAATTTTCCTCATCTCCTAGTCCCACCTATTTTCCTGCCTCATTGGCCAAACAGTGTTTTATTCATCAACCAATAAGAGAAACATAAATACAGAAGGACATCCCCCATCATACCATTTTTTGCTTTAAACCATCAAATGTTTCCTTAAATTTAAGAGGAAAATATACTACTATTTCTGGTCTATTTGTACTCTTTTTTTTTTGTTTTGTTTGTTTATCCTCTTAATGAACTTTTAAATGAACGTTTAACTTTTTTTTATTGTGAATATCTGCTCTGGCTTTTAATTTTCTCAACCTTCCTAATGGTTGGGTGGATTTTTTCCTGCACAGATAAGGTACAAGGACAGATTGTGTATTTGTCACCTAGGTAAAATAAGGTACTCTACCACCTTCTTGGCAGATTTCTGCTTTGTTCTCAAGAGACTTAGTGTCATTTTACTTGATACATCACTCTTCAATCCATCTGAAGTGGGAACATCTTAGCCCCCCACTAAATCCTACCCAGACGTACTGGCATGAATAGGGAAAGAAGGTGCTGTGAGCAGTGGGACTTTTGTTAATGTAGTCTAGTGTTTTGTGCTGATTATTTGATGACTCTGCCCATGGGTCAGATGGACTACAAAGCTTTGTTAGGGCTGAGGAGATGACTCAGCCATAAAGAGCACCTGCTGGTCTCCCAGAGGCTCTCAGTGCTTCCTCATACCCGTATCGGGTGGTCCACAACTGCCTGTAACTTGAGCTTCAGGAGATTAGGCTTCTGGGCTCCATAGGCACCTGTACGTACGTGCTCTTGCACACATACAAACACAAATTTAAATTGAATGTTTGTTTGTTATAGAGGAGCCTAAATAATGTACCTGCTGTCTCCCTGGCCTTCCCGACTTCTGACATCTTGATCCTCTGCACTGCTGTGTAGTCACTTTACATGACATCACTCCTTAGCAGTCATAGTTAAACATCTACCTTCCCTTGCTGCTGTTCTTCATTTAAATCAGTGGGTCTCAACCTGTGGGTCACAACCCTTTTGCAAAGCTCTATCTCCAAAAATATTTACATTATGGTTCATAGCAGTAGCAGAATTATAGTTATGAAATAACAGTAAAAATGATTTTATGATTGGGGTCAGCACATGAGGAACTGTATTAAAGGGTCACAGCATTAGGAAGGTTGAGAGCCCCTGATTTAGATGGTTATAATGTGTTACATATAGCACCAATGATGGCTTAGTGTGTGTGTGTCATGCAGGGTTCTTTTCATTTTAGTCAGATTGCATCTACATCACTGAGTAGAATCCCAGTTTACCTGGACTGCCTGCATTTGCCAATGTGGAGCTTTCACGTTCATCAAGGCAACTTCTGTTTGGGCTGATAATCTCTCTCATCATTACTCCTCTTCCACTGTGTTTACATATTTAAATGTCTCCATCTTGAGTAGTAAAATGGCTCATTATCAGGATTTGGCTCAGATCAGTTTTATGTTGCAAGTAATAGGAGTATTCCAAGGCTTATTCCTAATCTTTTGCTACCCTCTGACCCAGATTTCTGTGGGATCCAAAAACCTATTATCTTTATTTGTAATAGGTATATACTAACATGTATGGCCAGTGCTACTTCTCTGTTTTCTGTTCATGACTGTTAGACCCCCAGAAAACTCAGGTATCCGGCGTCCCAGACCATGTTCGCGGTCACCACAATCACCAGGCAGATTCGAGAGCTTGATGCAAACTGCATGAGGCTTTATTGTAATTTAATTTAATGAGCTAACCCCATGTTAGCTTGGGTCTTTCACCCACCCGCCATGGTGGATGGCTCGCAAAAGACAGCTCCTGGGGCCTCCCAAGAGATCTTATAGGGCAGCGTAAGGGGAGTTTCTAGGGGTACGCACAGGCTCACTATTGGTGTGCCTCCACCCTTGGAGGGCTTGCCCTGTGTTGATTGGCCAACTGGTTGTTATGGCCCATAGGCCCTCCCAGGGTGGTTGCTATGCTTTGTGCTTCATTGCTGTGCTCTTGTCCATAAAAGCACACCCAGGGTCGTAAAGCATAGCGCCACCAGCTAACTTCTGATTGGTTCCTTGTCACGAGGCAGGCATCTGACCTCTAAGTGACCAAGGCAAGGTTATGGCAAGCATGTGTTCGGCTGTTATGGCTGCCTAAAGGGGAGCTGGTCCCTTCAATGACCAAATGAAGTCTCTGGCATTTCCTCCCTGAACAGGGAGTGTTAGGATTGAAATTTTTTTTATTTTATGTTTCTAGGGATTGAATTTAGCTTATGCTAGACAAGCACTCCATCACTGAACTATACCGCTAGTACCTGGTTTGTGCAACAGTGTCTCATTGTATAGCCTTGGCTGCCTTAAATTGTCCATCCTCCTGCCTCCATCTCCTGAGCTCCAGGCTTACTGACTGAGTTTCTAAATATCCTGTTACAATCTTTGCAAGTGTGGTGAGAATCTTGTGCTAGAAGAATCAGGTTTGGGTGATCTCCTCTCGCTTTCCCCTTGAAGGACTTGGAGTTGCTGACTGTGTAGAGGACACACAGTCAGTTGTTGCTGTTCCACTAGACACACCTGAAGCACAAGTGAACGCAGACACAGCCCCTGCCATCAGATCATCTCCTGTGTTTGGGAGCAGCACTCCCTCTAAGACTTTTGTGCTTCGTTCTGTGTTGAAGAAACCTGGTAAGCTGTTTGCAGAGAATGGAAAGGTAAGAGTTACGTTTCCTAAAGCAAGGGGGGGGGGGGCAGCAAGTCATTTTGCCTCAGACCAGTAACTAAAGTTCACATGTCACAGGAAATGCATTGTCGAAGGAAATGCATTGTCCTCACTTGGTTTTCCTTTTCTTTTTAACTCACAATACTATTCTGAGATTGGTCTATTTTAAATTAATATTACATTGGTATTTAGAATTTAATGTAGGTAGACTGTATTCATGTAAAAGTTCATCCAAATTATAACAAATTGCATTGCCAAATAGTTCATGGCAATTCCTATCCATTCCAAACATGTGGGTCTAACACTCCTCTTCAGTCATCTATGTTTCTGTGAGAGTAGTAACCTAAGACAGGAGGAAGGTGCTGGGAACTAGGTAGCGTGTTCTGAGCAGTTCTTTCAGCAGCTTTGGCACATATCCATTGATAGTACGTTGTTTGTACCCTCAGCCCCTTCTAGCAGAATGGGATATATATTTCCCTGGTCAGAAGAAAGGACTAACTCAGGAGCGTGCTGATTAGGAGTCTTGTTTGTGGCAGAACTATTCTTAGAGCAGGTGCTGTTCTCACTGGTTATAGTACTCAAAACCATGGACTGGGCAGGGGTTCTGAGTGAGGTTGAAATGCAGGTGGTGATTAACCAGGACTTTGATCCCACCTGCAGGCCTGCCTCTCTTCTGCAAGGTTCTTCTGCCTGTGGATTTATAACATCCCTTCCTTTATAGTGTGCTCTCTATGATCTTAGGGATAAGCACAGACAGAAACTTCTTTCTTACTTCATCCTCAAAAATATGGATATTCAGGCAAGAAATTCCATTATTCAAAGTGCTGTTCCCAGGCATGAGACAAAGCTCCCTCTTAGTATCATTTACCTTGCATGTCTTTTTTTTTTTTTACCTTAGTGCAGTTCTTATGTGCAAACCATTGTAAAATATGCCTGATCTGACTTCTGATATAATACACTTTAATTTTGCCACTCACTTAGTTTGCTAGATCAAAAATGGGATGAAAATTTTAACCCATACTTAGGAATTTCTGTTCACTAATTTGGGCCCACAATATTGTTTATTAAATAAAATATGGAAGCCGAGGGCTGGAGAGATGGCTTAACAGTTTAAGAGCTCTTCCTCCTCTTACAGAGGACCCGGGCCACTTCTTTAGCACCCACGTGGCAGCTCACAACTGTCTAATAGTAACTCCAGGATGTCCAGTGGCTTCTTCTGGCCTCCACAGACACCTGACATGTGGTATACATTTGTATATGCATTTAAAACACTCAAAAACTTAAAATAAAAATAAACATTAAATGATTAATGATAAGAGAACCTAGATTTTTTTCTTGGGCCTTTTCAGCATGGTGTTTTAAGCCAAAAGAGCTAAGAAAATAAAGGTACTCTACAAAACAATTTCTAGTGACTTTGTATGTTATGGGAGGCATAGGACCTTTGATTGGTGTTTGTTTTGATTAGGAATGCATCCTCTATGATAGTGGGTCTCATCTAATCCCAGATCCTTCAAACTGCAAAGAACAAAGAGCAGGTATGTTGTCTATATTTACTTTTAAACATAAGGGTATCATTTTCTTTTTAGAACTCAATGCAGTATATTAGACTTTTTACAGTCTGCTCCTGCTTTATGCTTCTGAGATTACCTGGGAATGGAGAGCAACGGGGAGGGAGAGTGTCTTTGTAGAGCCTCATAATTGATCTTGGGCTGAGGGTGTGGCTCAGTGGATGACCATCTACCTGACATGATTGAAGTCCTGGGCTCAATCCCCAGTGTCACACATACAGAAAAAGAAGTTATAATTTTGCCTATCAATTTTTACTTAATGGTACAACTTGTAGAGAACTTCAGATATTCCAATTTTATTGACACTTTAAATAATTATAAGTAACATTTAAAAATCAGTACCATTTTAGTTGAAAGTATGGTTTTCTTCCATTTGCATTTTCTCTACAAATTGTTTTATTATACAAGTAGCAGCTGAATATACCATATTCAAACATTCTAGTACATGCTTTTTAGATAAGAAAAACAGATTAATTTTTTAACATTCTCATTTATTGTCTTAGGTAGAGAAAACTGTAAAACACCAGGCTTCCTGAATCTGAAGAAGAGGAAGAGAGTTACTTTTGGAGAGGACTTAAGCCCTGAAGTGTTTGATGAATCTTTACCAGCCAATACTCCGTTGTGTAAAGGAGGAACACCTGTGCGTCAAAGAAACTTAAATGCTGCCAGTCCCCTGCAGTCACCAGTTCATGAGCAGTTACTTCAGCCAAATTTTGATGACAGTGAGGAGAATCTTGTAAGTGGGGAAAGGCATAGAAAAAAAGCTTGTTTTTATTTCCATCAGGCCTCACTTTTTTTTTTTACATGAAAATTATGATTTGAAATTATGAGGTAGACTAAATGACATGCCACATCTTAATCTCTCTTGAACTTTTTGTTACTGTTGTTGTTTCGAGACTGGGTTTCTCTGTGTAACATCTCTGGCTGTTCTGGAACTCACTCTTTAGACCAGGCTGGCCTCACACTCACAGAGATCTGCCTGCCTCTGCCTCCTGAGTGCTGGGATCAAAGGCATATGCCACTATTGCCCAGCTTAATCTCTTCTGTACATTTTTTAAAAAAGACTTTCCCCCAGGCTAGAAAGATGGCTCAGCGGTTAAGAGCACTGGCTGTTCTTCCAGAGGACCCGAGTTCAATTCCCAGCACCCACATGTCAGCTCACAATTGTCTGTAACTCCAGTTTGGGGGGGATCTGATACCTTCACATCAAATAAAGTTAAATAAATTATTTAAAAAAAAAAAAAAAAAAGACTTCTCCCAATTACAGATAGTACTTTTCATGGGACCTAAGTGCTGTTGGTTGTAAGATACCTATTTGTATCCCTAAGAAAAGATGCTCAGATGTCTGAGGCATTAAAATATGAAAGAAATAACCACCTTAGAACTGAAATAATGTATTTTAAAATATAGGGGTAAACACATTTTAGTAAACATTCAATCAGATTAATGTGACCGGGTGAAGGGGAATTACCACTGTCAAGAAGGGGAGAGGTGACATTACTATATCCTAATAAGTTTTCAAGGACAGTTGGGGATTAGCAACAATTTCATGCTGTCATCTTAGCAGCTCAGATAAGTCAGTTACAATATTTGAAACACATAAGATATCAACCTTTAGTCAAGAAGGAATACATTGTTTCAGTAGCCCATGTTAAAGAAATTTAAATTGTCACTAAAACTTTCCCACAGAGTCATAATTTTGCTAAGAAAGTCTGCCACGTATTTAAGCAAATGACAATATTGATTATATACAATATTGATTATAAGACAGAATGCTATGTGATCATCTCAGTTCATGCAGAAAAGGCATTTGTGAAATTCAGCATTTCTGATTAAATATCAAAACAGTGTGAACAACTGGTAAGAAAGGGGAATTCAGATTAACATTTTTATCTATAAATGAACAATAGTTGCTATTTCACTGGCAATTGTGTGGAAAGGGTTTGAAATCTGTATCTTGCCATCTTAACATGAATTTCATTGAAAAATATTATAATACTAGATGGTGTTTTCTATTGCTTTTCTTTATTTTTCTTTGTAGAAGTTAAACAATGGGATTTTAAATAAACCAAAAAATAGTTTGTCAGTGATTAATATGACCCCTTATTCGGAGTGGTTGCAGTTGACAAATATGTTTGCATTATGAAGATAACCGGTCAGTGTTATAATGTTATCTTTGTTTTGATTAGAACTTTTCATTTTCTGTTGATTTTTCTTTTCATTTTGTGCTTATAATTCCTCCTACCAAAACAAGGCCTTATTTTTTCCTTTGGAGTACACCATTTACATATTCACTGAATTTAAGATTATCTAATTTGAACTTTTTTTTCCCTTTGCTTAGGAAAACATAGAACCAACTCAGATACCAATTGCAATTCTGAGTCCTAGTAAATCTTCATTCTCTGAGACTCTTCCAGGTATCGTGTGTTTATCTTTTGTTGGGGGATTTGTGTGGGTATGAGTTTGGCAATTGTGAGTCTCCCAATGTAGGTGCTGGAAACTGAGCTTGGGTCCTCTAGAAGAGCAGCAAATTCTCTTGATTGCTCACCAAACTCAGGTCCTCATGCTCAATGAGCACTTTACCAACTGAACTGTCTTCCCAGCCTCTTAATTCTTGTTCTTAGTACATAAAACTTAAATCTTTTCTTAAATTTTTCATGTGGAACAACAGTATTTTCTTGATTTTAAGAAAACCAAATACTGTGTATGAAAAATTACCACTTCTTTCTATTGCAAGTCTCATTCTTTGTAATCACCTGCATTTAACTTACATGCATTTTCTCTGCTTCAAGTTGATGTACACAGTGCTGTAGATCTCAGCCTGTTAAGGATCACTAATACACTTTCATCTATATTTGCACAACTGACAAAATTTGGATTGTAAGGAACATTCCTAAATGACTAAAAGTTTTGCTTACCATTAACATGGCATTTTCAGTGTATATACTTTCAAATATATGTCTTTTGTTTTTGTTTCTGTTGTTTTTATTTTCAAGACAGGGTTTCTCTGTGTAGCTTTAGAACCTGTCCTGGCACTCACTCTGTAGATCAGGCTGACTCCGAGCATTATGTCTTTTACAATTGTGATAAGACAAAGATTTTTCCTGATTTTTCTGCCATACCAGACTTGGCTGACAAAGCCATGATATGAGTACTTGGGTTGTGAACCTTTATTCATGTTTCCTCCCTTTCCTGATCCTTTGATGCCTTCCCATTGATCTAGCCTGGGTTTGTGAGCATAAAACCCAAAGCTGTTAATTACTGCGTTACAGGTAAAATTGCTATAGTCTGTTATGTTCTAAGCTCTGAACACATTACACTGTCTTTCATTTGTTCCATTAAAAAACATCAGCCATGTCTAAAGTTGTGCAGTTAGGTGTTTCCTTAATGTGTATGCTCTTATTTTACTCATTTTGTTACATTCAGTAATGTGAAGTCTTAAGATTGTTGTGAGTCTTGATTTGTTACTCTTATTAATTATCTGTGTCTAAATATGAATTAACAGCAACAGTCACTCAAAAAACTTCAGTTTTTGTTTTTTCTGTTTAGCTTTTTAAAACTGCAGTTTTTTGTTTTTTTTTTTTAACCTTCTGATTCGTACTAGTTTTGTGCTAAGAACTAATTTTGCTTGTTTTTTGATACCAGGCATTGACACTTGCAGTTCTTTAGGTAATCTTGAGCAAATAAGCTATAATGTCGGTAGACCAACACGGATTTCTCACAGAAGAAAGGTAAATACTTGGATTAAATCTTTGTAGTAATAAAAAACGAAGGGCTTTGGTGGCACGTGCCTTTAATCCCAGCACTCGGGAGGCAGAGGCAGGCAGATCTCTGTGAGTTTGAGGCTAGCCTGGTCTACAGAGTGAGTTCCAGGACAGGTTCTAAAGCAATACAGAAAAACCCTATCTGAAAAAACAAAAACAAAAGAAAGAAAGAAAGAAAGAAAGAAAGAAAGAAAGGAAAAGAAAGAAAGTAGAAAGAAGAAAAATCTGATTTGATGAGTACTGTTAAGAATTAATACTTGCACCAGGCGGTAGTAGCATATGCCTTTAATCCTAGCACTCAGGAGGTGACAGTGGCAAGCAAATCTCTGAGTTTGAAGCCAGCCTGGTTTACAAAGCAAGTTCCAGGACAGCCAGGGCTACACAGAGAAACCCTGTCTTGAAAAAACAAACAAACAAAACCTCAATTATTACTATGTCTTACTCAGTGCATAACCCAGAGAAATGTCTTGCTGGTCTGATTTTAATTCTACTAGAAGAAAATCCACTAGAACAAGAGCTTCCCTTTAAAATTGTGTTACTATGGAAGGCAGTCTATTTGTTAGCTGAGTTTTAGACCTATACGACAATGAATTTTATTGTAAATGCAGAGAAGATCCACATGTAACTAAGAGCCAGAAAGTAACATCAGTGCATGCTTTCTTAAACTATGCATTATTTTGTTTTCTATGGTGACATTCAACTGGCAGAGATTGGCTACATGTCTTTTGTTTTGGTCATTAAGTTACATGTAATTGGATTTTTGTCTATAGCTTTGTAAATATAATTGGATATATATATTATATATATATATGTATATATATATATATATATATATATATATATAT